GATGAAGTTAAAACAGGAGCAGAAAAAGAAGAAGAACCAGAAGGAACAGCTACTGAAGAAGAAAAAGAAGAAGCAAAAAAAGAAAAGACAAAAGGAGGAAAGAAGAAGAGCAAAGTTGTAGGAAATATAGGAAGAAAAGCAGGACAGAAATGGCAAAAGAAGAATCAACAATTTAATCGAAAAAAAAGCAAAGTATTTAAAAAATAAAAAAAGATCTTCTTTAAAATTAGTTTGAAAACAAATGTAAATCCTAAAAAATAATTTTGTATGAAGATTAAAACAAAATTTTAGTTTAAAGTTTACTAAATAAAATTACAATTTTTGAAAACATTTGTTATATTTATTCTCTCCAAAAAATAATTAGACCCGATTCAAAGACAAAACAGAAAATTAAATGAAAATAAATAAAAAAAAAAAACCATGTGAAAGTGAAAAGTGTACAGGAAAAATAAGGGGCTGCGAAGCAGCCCCATAAGCCCCTAGTAGGTATTATTCTCAAACGCTCCTCAAAAAGTCCAATTTGACAGAAACAGCGTGTGTGTGTGACAAAGTCCTCGCGTGAACTTTTTCATAGTGGGGTTGACGCTAACACAAAATAATTAAAATTTTTCTTTTCGGCAGTGGTTGGCGTGCTAAATAATAAACTTGGTTTCTTGTCATTCTGCGTAGAATCTGTAAGAAACAGCAAGAAACCCTCTCATTCCATTATAATAATTTATATCGATGACCTGAGCGCGAAACCACGTAACTCTGTCTCTGACGTTGCAGACTCCCGGCCATACTTTATTTTTTCATTCGAAAACTTAATCAACGTGATTTTTGAAAACTTCCTTGATTTTTTTTTCTCTGTTAACAAGAGATCTATCTTGACTTGTTCCATCAATCATTGGATCATTTCTAAGTAAATCCTAAAAAAAAATTTTGAGGTTATATTCTATTGTATTGAACCCAACGATACATCGAACCACTATCAAATGCGATCTATTACCCTTTCAATTTTTTTAATTTTCTCGTTTCCATAGATTTGATTCTTCACCTATTAACCAGTGTTGTATGAAATCTTTCCTCTCCACCGCCTCACCACCGCACCGCTTTCATAGGTATCGAATTGCTCCTGCGGGGGTCATTGACCGGATGTTTATCCTTTCGCCTCCCCCAGTATTTTCATCCATGTCGTTCTTGAGCTACACATTCGATGAATCTATATTTTGCAACGATTATTATGCTACGTATTGGTACGAACCGCGAACTTCGATTCACGCGATGCTTCATTATGAAAACCATTGTAAGTATCGTATCGAGCCTTATCGAGTGCACATCACCGATTACAAAAATTGCGCACAATTTAAATGACTCCCACGCTTTGCAAGTTTGGATTTCAGTTATAAATGCGTTTATTGTGTCTCCGGTTTCATTTCCCTGCCTCATGCTTTTGTTTGTTCTGATTCCAGATCGTTTTTATCATTCGTTCGATTTGCAAAAGTGCAATAGTTGAATTGATAGCAATGAGTTGATTCAGGTATTTTTATTTTTATTGAAGTTATTTACACACTTTTTTTAAAAATTTACCGCAAGGTCTTGCGCTTTTTATTTTACTTCGGGGTTGCGGAAAGTTTTTGTTTTTCTCTCTTTTTTTAAATATTTTCATGTTTAGAGTTTCTTAAAGCAATGACTTTTTTGCTTTCTGCTCCTGAGTTGCTAATTATCCACTATTTTGCGGTCCAAGAGCGATTTTCATTTTGACGCGCTCAGTTTTGAAACAATTTTTCCACTTTTTCCCTTTTTTGCACGCTACCCACAAAACGAGAAGTTTCAGCATCCTCGTTTTTCTCTCGTATCATCCTCCTTTTGACTCACATGCTCCATGCATCGGTGTATTACTCCCTGCTTTCATTTTCCCATTCCTCTGGAGCATGTATTTAATCATGAAAAATAGCTTCTGTCCTCTAGTTCTAGAGCGCTCCTATTGGAGAAGCAAAAAAAGGCAGCTTGCATTTTTGACTGTATATCATAAACATTAAGAAAGGTGATGTGAATAATAAATGCAAACTCATGATTAAGAGGCTTGGAGGACAAGGCACTGAAGTGCAGTTTCTGAAAAGACACCTATCGAACCTGTATTCCTTATCGCGAGAGCTTGTGAACCGTGGGCAGATCTCACATTTCGCCCGCAAAATCGAGCGTATGCAATCCGGCCCACCGCGGAGTTAAAATAGTTGCATGTTGGGTTCGAACCCAACTTTGTATATCTCTCCATTCCTCTTCGCGGAATTTTTAGTTGAAAGAGCGTTCCGTTATCTAAGATATAAAAAAAAAGACTCAGATTTTATGGAAGTGCTGAAACGCTCTTAATTCATTCACTGGACCCGCAAACTGATAGAGGTGCGCACGGTGCACGTGAATTAAGTGAAATGCAAACAGGCGATTCGAATTTGAAATTTGAATGAAATCTATGAATTCGATGGTAGATGAAGATTCACCACCCTACATCGCGTTTTCCGTAATTTAAATAGAGCTCCAAAATGTGAAGGAAGAGAGTTATAAAGACAGAGACAGAAAGGGAAAACGTATCTTGAGAAAAATTTAACAATCTAATGGCAGTAATTCCAATTCTCTACAGTTTTTATTTACGGAGAATGAAATGCCGTGAATATTGCCCGGGGAAATTCTATCTGTGGTGCAACTTCTTGCATTAAATTTTCCTTCTTTTGAGAGGGTAGGCAATATGCGCTCTCAAGAGTTAGAATAGTGGTATCAGAATCTTTGTTCTTGTTTAAACGTGTTACCAGCGCTTTTGCTTTCCTACTACAATGAGTAAACAGGATAGAAATGTACAGAAAGTTTACGTGCATTTTAGACCCTTCCTCTTTTTCCTCTTCCTCTTGTTATTCAATTTATTTTTCTTTTCTTTACTCTCTCCTTCCCCCTCTTCCGCTCCTTTTCTAATTTCCCTTCCTCCTACCTATTCTCCTTCTTCCGCTTTCTATTCTGCTCCCTTCTCTATTTATTTCCTTTCTCATTTTGATTTTCTCTATGCAGATAGGTGATTTCATGATTGAGCCAGAAATAGTAGATCCATATTGTAAAGCGTATAGTCTGGTTGAAACCATACACCAACTATTAATCGCATCTTAATGTTAGTCTTTGCGCCTAACTTAGAACTCCCTGGAGAACTATGTTCCCAATTTTGAGTTTTTGCTTTCGTTTCGTGTATTTGGCTCCCACAGTTTAAATATTGAGACCATCCATCTTGACAATGCTACGTGCAGTTGCCCTTGTTGATTTTTTTCAGCGATGGCGCGTTATGGTGGGCGAAAGGTGGCCCCCTCTGAAGTCATGAGAAGGGGACGGGGGTGTGATAAAACCGAGCTCGACCTCAAATTTTCCGATTTGAAAAAGTCTTAAGTCCCGCCGACCTCTCAGTGTTGCCGAATTTGTCAGGACTTTTTGGGTGTTTCCATGCCTATCCATTTCCACGCATTATCTTATGTATTTCCGTACTAAACTGACAACCATGACTCGTAACAATTTTTCGGGCTGTAATTAAAAATTCAATTAAAGAGCTTCGTAATGCACATATTCATGCCGAGAAGTGTCACTAAGCGAAAGCTCAAAACTATAGCGTTATGGTCTGAACAGCGCTCACAATTAATTATTTTAGCCTTAGGATTTTAACATATAGGAGCATTAGCAAATGTTATTATTTTTTTCCTTCAAGTGGGAGGCTTATATAAGACCGGACTTGGCCCCTCTCCCCTCTTCGTAAGACCCCATAAGGTGATTCGTCAAGCTCAAATGACGTGGTCGTTGTGGAGTGCGATATATCGCATCGATTAGGTCAAACATCTCGGCAGATTTGGAATTTTTAGCAAAAAGAAGGACGATAGCCCCTGCGCATGAGCGTAAAGAATCATTTTAAACCCAAAAATCAGCAAAATTCAGAGAAATGGAAGCAGAATAGTGTTTGGAAGAAAACCTCGCATTCGATTCAGCCATCGATTTCTGTATCGAATGCGAGGTTTTTTTCCAAACTCTATTCTGCTTCCATTTCTCCGAATTTTGTTGATTTTTGGGTTTAGAATGATTCTTTAGGCTCATGCGCAGGGGCTAACGTCCTTTTTTTCGCTAAAAATTCAAAATCGACCGATATTTTTGACCTAATCGATGCGATGCATCGCATGCCAGCTCGATCACGTCACTTGAGCTTGACGAATCACCTTAAGGCAAGCTAAGATCCCCTTCGCCCTATTTTTTAGCGTACGTAATAGTTGAAGAGCCCCTCAAAACAGTGGCGTGGCGTGAATTGCGATGTATCGATTGTTATGCCATTTAAACATATGGTAAAGAATCGATTATTATGGTGTTATTAAGGTGATTATTAAGGCGCTGCGAACACCCTGTTTATCGATCCTTTTCCATAGGTTTAAATGGCATAACAATCGATACATCGCAATTCACGCCACGCCACTGCCTCAAAACCCCGGGAGCTATCGTGTTTTCCAGGGATGCGGAACCCCAACCAGTTCGGGGTGTCCAGCGGGTACGTGCAACAGGCAGGCCAACGACGTTTTATCGGGGATAGAGGGGGGGGGGGGGTAAGAGGAGGACGTGGCGCGAACGAAGGAGGGGTAGAGGAGGGAGCGCTGCGGTACTGTGCAAATCATGCGCGCATTACATCAGGCGTAATAATAATCAGCGGATGTAAATCTCGCTGATTTTGCTAAGTATTTAACCGTGAAATCTTGCATCATCCGCCAACTGCGGCTGCAACTCGCCGCGTTGCCGCTCCCCCCTCTGCTTCAGCTGCCCATAAATTGACCCAACAAGCGGAATGTAACTTTCCAGCTTTTTTTCGTTACACTGTAAAAAAAGCTACTGGCTTTACTGACGTACCGTCCGTTCCGGGCTCAGAGGCCGAAACTGCCGGGTGTTGGAGCCGTAGCTTCGATCGCTCCGGGTGCTACGCCCGGAACTTTCGGACTCAGAGCCCGAAACACGGACGGTATATCTATGTAGCCCATAAGTATGGCTTCCGCGGCCGGAGTTGTTTTCGGTGCACGTANGGGGGGGGGGGGGGGGGGGGGGGGGGGGGGGCGTTTCCTGGCTGCAGCACGGTCCAACCTCCTAGGGCCGCGACCTGGACCATATTTCAAAATTCCAAATGAAGCGGGCTTATATAGAGGTCCCCCCGTTTTTCAACCAAATTTCCTCCATTGGCAGAAACGCTAAAAGTATGCTCCCAGCGAAAAAAAAAAAGTCTGAAATCAGCGCGCTTTTACACTTTATCTCCATTCTTTGCAGGGGAAAAACAATTTTCTTTGGAAAAAGAGCCGTATGCAAAAACGACATTTTTCGCCCCCCCACTAAAACTTATTCAAACTTCGTCTATCAGTTACTAATACTGGAGCGCTTCTTTCCCCAAATTTTCAGACCCCCAAAAAATTTTGGGGGGGCGCTAGGGGGGGTGGAAGTCAAAACCTGGGACCCTCGATATCTTTCGAACGAAACAAGATATTGAGGCCCGGTTTGGACGAAAAATCGTCTAAAATTGCATACTTTAAGATTCTAAAGGTCAAAATCCCAAAATTAAATTTTTAACTTAACTTATGTGCTTTTTTTCAGTTTTTGAGGAAAAACAATTTCTTTTAAACGGATTAAACTGAAATTTCACATTTTTTGATTTGAACCAAAACCAGTTTTTTAAATTGTTCGTCTTTTTCCGCATCCAACGAGTGGTCGTATAAGCTGGGGAACCGAACGGTTCCGGAGTTACGATCGATTGAAGTTTCCGCTCAACGCGCGCCGACCGATTTTTGCGCGCAAAAAAGTCGGATTTGACTGTTATTAAATCAGATTTAATGTTCAGATGTAATGTTTTGCATACGGCTCTTTCTGCACAAGCCGAGGGATTTTCTCACGCTTCCTTCGGGCGCCCGGGCATTTATGCGCCCTCATATCCTCCCCCTCCTGGCATACGGGCGTAACTGCAATCAGCAATGAACCCTTTCGTCTATACAATTTAATGCTTTTTCGGGCTCATCTCATTGTGTAGTTACGCCCTTATGTCACCCGAGCGACGATGTATATGGACTTGACGTCGTCGTTTCGAATGTAATAGGAAACATAAACTCAATCGCCAATCTTCGCCGTTTTTAGCTCATCTGAATTTTTCCGCGCTTTAAAAGAGTCGCAAAATTCAACCGAACCTAACAAATTCTAATCTCCAAGGTGTCCATAAGTTCAGAATTTCGGGATAGTCCGGAATTAGTATTGATTTTTTAGAGCGATCCGGGAACACTTAAAAAGTGCGAAAATTCCGCAAGAGCGTTCGGAAGTTTTCTATTTTTTTTTTTTTCCATTTTTGTCGCAATGAGGGCGAAAAACTCAATTTGAAATTTTTCGAATTTCATCAATTGTAGACACTGAAAAAGTTCTGAAGTTTTCTGTTGCGGAGGTACCCACTGAATTTCTTGGGATTGTACTGAAAAAGTACCGTAAAAGCACTGATTTTCGGCTGGCCTGTAGTAGACCCCCTGAATCACATCAAATCGGTGCCTCGATTAATGGAGCCATCGACTCGGTCTGTTGTGTAAGTTCTTTTCGGGGTCAGGGCGGCAACGTCGGGACCGAGTGTCGCCGTCGGTGGCGGAGTAGGACAACTCGCTGATTATTGCATTCGATGATGCGTCGAATCTGCGTAGTAAGTCGCGGCTCGACTCTCGCAAACGAGCTCTTTATCGAAACATTTTCGCGCTGCAACGGATTCAGCCGCCGAGCTGCAGTCTGTCAAAGTGCCCGCGGACCTTGGCCCCCGCCTCCTCACC